CTTGCTTTCACTGTCATCATTAACCATTTATTCTTTTCCTGAGCTAAGCATATTGTGCCATTTTAGATCAGTGAGCAATTTCAAAGTGTCTGTTCTGGCTTAACACAATCTTCCTGGTTCTTCTTAGTTGGTAGGGAAGTCTACCAATGTTTTCAAGCGTAGGTAATAATACTGAGATTGCTTATTTATGCTAGATAAGAGCAAATCTTATTTGCTGTTTAAATAAGGACTTAAAGAACTAAAGCTGTTCGGGAAGTCCAGAGGTGAGGCTCTCAGTTGATAAGATTATGCATCTTGTCTTGACCTTGTTTAAAAGGGTATTCGGGATTCTTTCCCGACAACATGATGGAAAAAGGTGTCCTTTTTTTTTTTTTCCTTTTTCCAGAAAAGGCTGCATGGGCCTTATTTCTTTTTTCCCCTTGCAAAACTTCCAATTTATGAACAGATTGTGCTTTAGCTGAGTTTTAAATTAAGTTCTCATGAGCTGCTCTCTTGTATGCAATGCACTTCTATGGTCTATAGCTTATAACTATATTATTAGTGATATAGCTTGCTTGTTTGACACAAAATAGCATGAGTGGAATTAGTGTAGGCAGGTAAATCTCTTTTTTTTCCCCCTTAAAACAATAGCTAGTGGTAGTACTCTTGTGTAAATCCTTGTAATGAGGATAAGCTAAAAGTAATATTGCATACTTGCAAATTATTTTTTTATAAAGCTTTACTTTGACTTAAACAAGTGAGTTAGTTCTTTGTATTGCTTCTTCATGAAAGCAAAACTTTCTTTACAAGCTGACTGTTGTGAATTTCCGAAGGAACTGTTTTCTTCCCTGTTTTATACTCCTTTGGTACTTTAAAAAAAAAATAAAATACCCACAAACCCCAGAATTTAAACATTTGCTAAAATGACATGTATTTAGTATATACAGGATTTGGGGCTGGATGTCTCTAGAATGGATTAAAAACAGGATTTTAAATCCTGATGTACAGTAGAAAAATGTAAGTCAATGCGTATAAGGGAATCAGCAGATCTAACAGCTGTTGTTCAGGGATATGCTGATGCAATCCTAGATTTTAATTCCAGTGAATTGGAAACAAAGATTCATTCTAGTCCTCTTAATCTATCAAGTATTGCTTAAAAATTAGTAAATTTAGAGTGGTCAATTATGTAGCAATGAATTAAACACTAGCATTTGGTACTTCTAGACTCCCTATAAGACTAGTTAGCTTGCAAACCTCTATAGACATGAATTGCATGAATAATTCACGTAGTAGGTGAATGATAATTGTGAAAGTTGCTATACTTCTACCAATCTTAATAGGTGGGTTGGCAAGTAAAAGTGCAGTCTGCAGTTGATCTGGTGTAAGTGCTAAGCATAGCAGACTTGACTAAAGAATGATTATTGGTTCTATCCTGTTTGCTGTCTATAAATCTGTGGTTTTGTCTGGCCTCTTTTATTACTAGAGGTAGTAAACACAGAGGGCAGCATGGTGAAGGAACTTTTTAAAGCAGGTGCTTTACTGATCAAGTATTTTGTTGGCACATGATGTGCTTTCCAAAAACTTTGACTATTGAATTAACTTAGTGTGCTTAAGCTGTGGAAATCTCAGTGGAAGAGGAGTGATGCAATAAGAATGGGTTAGGATGGCAAGTAAAGGGAGGAGTGTCCTCACCCCTTTAAAGGCAAATAGATTTGGTCAATGGAAGCTGATCTGTTTGGTAAACCATAAAAATATTAATTTAAATAATGAGTAAGTTGGTTTTATTTGCTGCTTGTTACATGTTAAATATAAACATGAATATCAGAATCTTCTCTACTGGCTTTGCCACAGACTACTCACTTAAATCTTCCAAGTGAGCAGGAACTCTGAACGTTGTTCAGACTACGAAAGCAGTAGTTTAACACTTTGTTTAGTGGTGTACGAGCAAAGTTTCCTACTTGAATGACTTGGTAATGTACGAAACGTCGTCTGTCTTTTTTTCCCCTTTATGACAAGCTCTTGGATATGGGTGATATCTTCTTTAACAAATGTGTTTGTCTTGTTGCGGAATGTACTAGTGCCTAGTTTTTTTCAGGGGTGGCTATATCTTTATGTTGAGCAGTTTTAACTTGGAAGGAAAGCAGTAACAATCAGTCTCTGTGATGTGCCATATACTTGCACATCATGCTATTCTGTAGACTCCATGTTTTGATTTCAGATTTCCTATCTATGATGGTTGCTGATGTACCCTGATCTTGACTTTGATATTGCAGAATAGGGAATTTCATTTTTATAGTATCACTCAGGTTGGAAGGCAACTCTGAAGACTGGCTGGTCCAAATCCTTGTGTAGAGTAGGGACAGCTATAGCAGGTTGCTCAGGACCTTGTCCAGCTGAGTTCTGAATTTCTCCAGGGATGGTGACTGTACAGGCTCTCTGGTCAATTTGCCTAGTGTTCAACCACCCACAGAGTAAAAAGATTTTCTTCATGTTAAAATGGCATTTCCTGTATTTTAATTTGTGCCCATTGCCTCTGTCCTCTCATTGGATATCAGTGAAAAGAATCTGACTCTCTGTCATCTTTGCTCACTTCTGCTAAGATGCCGCCTTGTCTCCAGGCACAGCAGTTCCAGCTCTCAGCCACTCTGTGTACGACAGATGCACCAGTCTTTTCATTATCTTTGTGGTCCTTCACTGGACTCACTCCTATATGTCAGTGTCTGTTCTGTACTGGACAGCCTGGAACTGGATGCAGCACTCTAGATATGGCATCATCAGTGGGGAAGGACTGCCTGCTCCCACCTGCTGGAAGCATTCTTCCTAATGTAGCTCAGGAGGCTGTTAGCCTTTACTGCAAGGGCACTTTGCTGGCTTATGTTCAATTTGCTGTCCACCGCAGCCCTCAGGTTTTTCTCTGCAAAGATGCTTTCCAGCTGGTTGGCCTCAGTGTGTACTGGTGCCTGGAGTTATTATTCCCCAGGTGCAGGATTTTGCATTTCTCTTTGTTGAACTTCAAGGTTCTTGCCTGCTCATGTCTCTAGTGTGTTTTGAGTTTCCTCTGAGTGAAACACAGCTCTGTGTTAAGTCCCAGTTTTGTATGTCTGCAAACTTGTGGAGGGTGCATGCTGTCCCATCATCTGGGTCATGAATGAAGATGACAAACTGTGTTGGCCCCAGCAGCAGTCACTGGGTTGCTCTGCTAGTGATGGGCCTTCAGCTGGAGTTTGAGCTGCTGATCACAACCCTTGGAGGCCAGTGGTTCAGCCTACTTTCAGTCCTCCTCACTGTCCTACAATTATGTAGGTTGTACTCCTCCTCCTCCTACAATTATGTAGGTTGTACTTCATTGGTTTGCATATGAGGATGTTATGGGAGACAGTGTCAAAAGTCTCTTATTTTCTTGTTGTTTCCCTTTTCCAGGTGCTGTTGAAAGACCTAACAGAAGTCAGCATATGCAGGATCATTTTGGAGGATATTCTAGGAGTAGAGGTAGGATTGCATGTTTAAAATTTGTAGTTGTGGGGGTGATTAAGCCTTCCTTTTGGACAAAACATTTAGAATGGAGGACCTTGCAACTGTGTCAGAGTAAATTCTGGAAACTCAGATTTTGCTGTGTTGATAGCTGTACTGTTGCTGAGTGGTGCTGTTCCGTATGGAAAACAGTAGTTACACCTGTCCTTAGCTTTGTAATTTTAATTCATTTTCTTTGTCTTATGAAAGGACACGTTCGTCATGTCGTGTTTTTCTGTTGAGTGGGAGGTAGGCTACAGACCTGAGGTCCCTTTCAGCCTGAGTGATTCTGTAATTTTACTGTTGAGTTTAAAAAAACAAAACAAACTGAAACAACAACAACAAAAAAACAAACCCACCCAAAACCAAAAGTCTACGCTGAAGTCAAAGATAGCTTTGAATGTTAAGTTGATTCTTTTTTCTAATTATAGGTATGGATGAATGTCTGAACAGACAGTGTCAACCAGTGAGTAGATTTGGTAGCGGAAGGAATTTTGCAAACAGAGGTAACTTTTTGGACTGTCTGTAATTCTGGGGGCTAGTCGTATTTGATGCATTAAGTTTTCCCTATTCAGGTACTCAATTTTGTTGTATCAGAGACAAATGAGTATGTATGACTTGGAGGGTAATACCAATCCATATTTCTGCATAATGTAGGCACTCGGTATCACCGCTTAGTTTTGACTGCACAAAATTAAATACCCCACCATATTTGCCAGAAGGCAGGACTCTACATTTAAAATCAATGTTTTGTTTACCTCTTGCTTTGATTCCATTCTCCCTGGAGAGGAGTATTTTTCTGATAATTTCGTTGAGTCATAATGCAGTATAAAAGGCAGCTGAATGTTACTATTCACATACATGCCATGTGAGGGAATATACCAGTGGTCTTCTGTGGAAGAACTGAAAGCTTCTCTTGTATGCAGTGCATATTGAAGAGGTTAGTAATTGGCAGTTTGGCAGGACTGCTGCATATGCTTCCACCAGGTACTATCAGAAGCACATCGGGCAGTGGAAGCTACTACCACATAGCATCTGTCTAGATAGTTTCATGGCTGTAAGTGAGACTGGTTATGAAACAAGGAAGATGGAAACTCTAGTCCTGGTTTTGGGCATGTTCAGGAAAAGTTCTGATCTGCAGAACAGCTGTGGAGCCACTTGAAGTTATGTTTATTCTTTCAAAAAATTCTACACCATTTCTCCATCTCTTGGATTGATGTCCATTATGGTGGGGGAATGCTAGACTTTTTTGACTAAGCAGGCAGCAGCACTTTGGTGGTGCTGTGGAATGTTGACGAACAGTTCTGCTGTAGATTCTCTGGCAATTGCAAAGTAACTCACAATCTGTATTTAACGTCTGTAGTATTTATGGATGCTTATATCTAGACTGTCTTTTGCATGTGAGCCTTTAAGATGTGATTATTATTATTATTTTTTTTAATTTGGAAAAGCTCAAATGACACATAAATTGGTATACACCAACTGTTGGTGGAGAAGGAGCTACAGATGCGGTGGTAGGAGAACTTCTTGGTGTCATTTAGCAGAAGATGTTCTTTGCCATTACAAGATGATAGAACAGGTGTTCAGCTGAAGAATAAAGACTAAGGAGTAAATGATGACATAAGTTGACTGTTTGGATCTTAGACAACACCTAAAACTGTCCAATCTAAAATGAGAAATAGCTTGTTTATGCATGTGGCTGTTTAATTCCTCTCCCACCCCATCAGGAGGGTGACTAGGGAAAGGGGTTAGAAATAAAAATACACTAAATACTTGGCACTGCCTTTTCCAAGCAACTGAATAAGCAATTCTGAGTAATAAAAACATAGAAATTGATAGATCTGAAAGGTAGGTTTTCAAATCCTTGCTCCATAGGAGGCAGTAATTGCAATACTACCTCAGTCTACAGCACTGGTTATGAAAATTGAGAAGGTACAAATGCTGTCAGTTGTCCTGTGACCGAACCAGAGGACTGAACTGATCTGCATCATAACCGAAGAGTTGACAGTAGCTTACATAGCATATGTGTGTGTAAAGTCAAATACTTCGAGACTGAATGGTTGATTTATTACTTGCAGGAAGCAATACTACAGGAGAGCAGTAGACTCTTCATCTTGTCATACTTTTTGGCAAAAAATATTTCTTCTCTTAATTTTTTTCATATGTTTAGGCAAATCACTTAGTTTTGTTGTACTTTTTATCTGAATTCATGAAATAAGGACTGTGAAGAAGAATTGCCAAATAAAAGGCACTTGATCTGCACATGCAGAATTGGGCAAACTAAGTTGTGTGCTATGCTGTACTGCAGGTTTTCAAGAAAGCAACGTTGTAGAAGATTCTAGTACACAAAATAGAGGTTTTAGAGGATTTCCTGGTGGCTTTGGACGAAGTGAGAGTAAGTTTTTTATATTGACTGTTTTGTGTTGGAACAACATACATTTGGTCATTCTTTCTGGGTTTGCTTGCTCCATGAGAACTACAAGTATAAAGGTGAAAGCTATAAAATAGCTTCTATTCTTCAGCTCCATTGTGGAACATGGGTGGCATCATTGAAAAATATCATCACTGGGAATAATACAGCATAGGTTGGAGTCATAAAGAATCTGTCGGGGCTGTTGCATTGTCGAGTTTTTGGAGTAAACAGTATTAGCTTTAAGCATAGTATTTCATTATACTAATTTTAGACACTATATCCACTACACTGTGTATTACTTACAGGTATTAAAGATGAGCAAAGAGACAGACCTCAGTCTGACATTTTTCTTGGCTCTAGAGGAAGAGGAGCATTTGGAAGTCGTGCAGGTGAGACTTTTTAGCACAGTGGTGAACATTTCGGATTTCCTCGTTGCTCATTTGTGGTAATGCAATACCTTCTTAGCTTTACTAAATGCTGTCACTGTGATTGTTCTCCCTGTCTGAATTAAGAACCTACTGCAAATGTTAGATAGCTTGCTTGCATGCCCACACAAGACATGTTTGTAACTTGGATAAATTCAAGGAATTGGATTTTCAAAGCAGTTGTCTTCCGTAATTTTTTTTCTTGGTCCTGCTGCTACTGGGTCAGTTAATGCACAGTGAAGCAGAGGTGCTAACCCCAAAATTCAAAGCAAGCCTTTAAGAACTTGCTCAGTTTTGAAATAGTCACTCTAGACTTTTTTCACCCCCCTATAAAGGGAGGTATTACTTCAGGTTTGTCCATGCTGACAAGTAAGGTCTGTAGCTCTGATAGGCCAGCTCTTCCTGATGACTTTATTATAATGTTGGGTTTTTGCTGTCTACAAAGGATTTTTCCCTTATGGTCCTATCTTCCTTTGCCACTGATGTTAATGTAACTTGTAACCTGTGTGTTGTGCTACCTAGAGCATAGTAATCTAGTACGCACAGAATTCCCATAATTCAAATTAAAAATACCATTAAACTAGTGTAATGGGTTGTAGATGGCTGATATTCTCAGTGTAAGAACGTTTTGTGTGATACTGGTAAAAGAACTTTTCACTGTAGAACAGATAAAATGATTAGTATGTGTTTTCAGAAGTGCTCCTTAATATCCAAAGAACAATCTATTTGACTTAGTTCAAATTAAGTTTTTCAGATTTTTAGTTCAAAAAATGATTTTTAGAAAATTGTTTACAGAGGCAACATGCTAATACTCATAGTGGACGTAATTGCATCCTTAAAGCAGGATAGTCATGCCTTACTTTTTCATGACCATTGTATGAAGTATTAGTCTGTAAAGACTTATGGATATTGGTAGGCAACAGTTGCACTAGTCTATATAGAGGTTCATGTGGAGAGATAATTCTTGATAAGGGGTAGTTTGTTGCATGGTAAGTATGTCCTTTTATAGTAAGAGAATGTATCTGGATCTAGCAAAGGAAGAGAGCAAGCACTGCTAGGCTGTTGCACTGCCCCTGTCTCTGAATAGCAGTCACATCACTCTAATACAGTTTGCAGAGGTAATGAAGGTAGGGCTGTGCTGGCTTTTCTTAAAACGCTTATGCTTTTTGCAATTAGAAATACCATGTAAGCATATTATATCTTCTGATGGAAAAACAAATATTTAAATGTGATTACACACACTGTGTGTTGCATCTTTGCTTGGATTCTCTGTGGCCATCTCGATGAAGCTGTGATTTTACAGAGTTCCTTAAGAATATTGCTGCTGAACAGAGCATTCCTGATCCAAGTCACAGTACTAGCTGCCTCTTTAGAACTGGTATTTATGTTTAGAGATAATAATTCGATCTTGTTGAGAATAAGCAATCAGATTAATATGCTGCCCTGATGCTATTCTTTTGTGCTTGCATTGCTGCAGTGAGGAAGAATGCAGATGAGGGAGGGCAAAGGAGGCATTGCAGGGTCACTGTACTTCTGTGGTACCGATCTTAAAATTGTCAGTCTCATGGTATGATTTTTATGAATGGCTTGAGCTGCACATTTGAGTAGAGAACCTATTAACAGCTTTTGTTGTTGTCTTTCCTCTTCACTCAGTCTTGTGTCCCTTCTCTACATTTCTAGCCTCCTTTCTTTTCCAGAGGGGCCTTATATTAAAGGTTGTGGTTTTTTGTTTTTTTTTTACCCTTCTTGGAAATCAGCAGCACAACTTCCTGCGTGGAGTAGCTAGAGGCTACCAGTTAGGTTTAAGGCTTTTTCTATTTTTTGTATAGTAGGAGTAAGGACTTAAAGAAGGTTCTGGAAATGCTGCTGTTACTAGCTCAGTCTTAATACAGTTTTTACATATGTAAAACATGTGGTACTTCTTCACTCATAAGTATAAATGTCTTTGTTTTTCAAGTGATAATGAAAGCAACACACGTGCAATACGTGGATGCCAAGGTCAGAACTTTTATGGAGTGGATGTTATAAACATGTGGCTGTTAAAATAACAGGATAGTTTTCTCTTCTGATTTAAAGTCTCTCGTGACTCTTGAAAAATTGTGATTACTCTGAAGTTTATGGCTATGGCTCTTTAGTTATTTAGAAGGTGGTTCTCTGGCATAAAACAGGCATCTCCTGATCTTGTGGAAAAGTTGAATCGTTCTTAAAACCAAGATGCCCTAACCGCAAGCATGTGTGAATTTCTTGTTACTCATAATACTTTGTTAATCAGTTTTAGGGGGAAAAAACCTCACTTAAGAGGTAACAAAACAAGATTATAAAACTGACACTTCTGTGACATTTCAGTTTCTTATTATAGATGCTTTTTTTGCTCATGACTCGTCTCAAGTGAATGTGGACAACTATATTTGCCCTTGCAAAGCATATGCTGGATTTAGGAGGGATCATTCTTCGTTGCCTTTAAATACAACTTGCTTTATCTAGACATCTTGTGATGGCCATGTCATAATCTGCGATGATTGCATTTGATTTGATAAGGGACTTACTGTGAGTCAAGTAAGGACCAGATCTGGTTTGTGAAGTCCTTCAGCAAGATACTGGGTTTAATTCCTTCATGTTGTTACCGTGAGGTCCTGCTAAGCCCGGTGTTCCCTCTCTTTCTGCCCTTTAAAACACAAATATGGGGCCTTTGTCTTCTGGCTTTTTGTAACTAAGCTTTCATTGCTTACCTAAATATTTCCACTCATTCTACCAACTGTATCAGGACCCACTGTTGAGTTTTCCAAGTGCCTCTAGGAATTTTTCATTAAGGTTCTTACTTAGATTTTCTTTCAAATCTTTTTTCCTAAAAGCAATTAACTTTGGAATGCTTTCTTTAACAGCAGCTTACAAAGAATGCAATGAAGGAATAGATTCTGAAAGAGGTAAGTAGCTTCTTCACAAGCAACATGCCAGTTTTAATTTGCTTTTAAGTCAAGGAACATTTTCTTACTTAAAGTTGCTGAAAGGAATTGGGTAAGAAAGAAGGTAGTGATATGGGTAAATGCATAACCATATCAAAACTGCTCATGTAGCAAGCTGCCAAGCAAAAACTGTTAAACTCAGTATGTTTAAACTTTGTTCATCTTTAAATTACTGGGCAACACAGTGGTTGTTCTCACCTAAATAAAGACTAACTTTTTGGAATGGAGCACTGCAGAATTCCTCTGTTGCTGCCTGTTTCTTCTGTCTAATGGTAAAGCTTATCTACTTGAGACACAAGTGTTAGAGAACTTAATTGGCAATAGTGTAGGCATCTAAGTGATGATAGTCATTAAGGCAAACCACAAAGGAACAGTAGATTCTCAGTTTCAGATGCTGTAGCATCTGGGATGCTATTTCTGGAAAATAGGCTTAATGTGTTTTACTGAGTGTAAGTTAGTAAATAGAATTTAATGATTTGTATGTGCAGGAGATCAGGTTGAAATGTATGATGAATGACAACTTTCTGACATGTATCAAAAGTGTCATTTGGGACAATCTATTAGAATGTTTGCTTACCTGCAGTGTTTTTTGCAAATAACTTTACCCTTACTTTTCCTTTCTCTTACTCTTGAAATGCAAAAAGACAAATAGTGACCTCCTGACTTCTGTATGAATAATTTTGGTTCCTAATCCTTCCTCATTTGAGGTCCCTATGAAATGGTTTCTACCGCTAACTTTTTAGTGAGCATCAAATAATTAATTTTATACCTCTGAGTTTATTAGCTTGAAAAATACCTTAAGGAATTCAGAATTATAAATGTACTACCATGAACAGATTAATTTTATCCTTGTGTATTAATAAATGCCTTGTTATTGGAATAGGATAATTTATAGTGTAATGAGTTTTTGTGGTAGAATTGGTTTTTGCATGGTGGTAAAGTGGAGCCTAATTTAAATGTTGTGAGTAGCTCTTCAAAGTAAGGTCCTTGAGCAAATGTGAGACAAGAATGCTTTACAGAAGTCTGACTTTATTTGTGAGTTTTAGGTCTAGTAGTATAAAACTAAGTTCTACTAGAATTCATTTATGAAATTTCTTGCCTTCCTGGAAAGTGGAGAGAAGTGTAAATGACATCCCACTGAACTTAACTTCAGTAGCTTCATACTTCAAATAGTTTTTGTTCAAGTTTTCTTTATATTGTTCATGAACTTGAGTGCTTGTGTTCTTAAGGTCCAAAGGTGACTTACGTGCCCCCTCCTCCACCTGATGATGAACAAGCCATCTTTGCGCGTTACCAGACAGGAATTAATTTTGACAAGTATGATGAAAATGTTGTCGAAGTGTCAGGACTTGACCCTCCAGCACCATTACTGGTTAGTGAACTCATTAATCTCAGGGTTTATGTTGAGCGTGATTCTGCACGGATGTATACTGAGTCTAATATTTACTGGTAATGAAAATATTAGTAAAGATTTTGAATCTTGCAGGCAGTACTATGTTGGAAGGAGATACTGCCCATTTGAAAGTTACAAATTTGAATTCAAAATTACATTGACAAACTACAGAAATGGCCCAGATAAAGTAATACTGGATGGAGAGAAGTATAGTCCTTAAATTGCAGAAAAACACCAGTTTAGATCTTGAAAGAAAGAGGTCTTTGGCAGCAGTTTCTGGGAAGGCGAGTAGAGTCATCTTGTTGAAGTCTGTTACTAGAGGATCTTTAACAATGTAAATGAACACCTGTTGGAATAGTTTTCATTTGGACAGAGAGAGGCTTTTGAAGTAATTTCTAGCCCTGTTTTCTGTGGCTGCTGTTTGTTGTTTAACTTCGCTTCTACTCCATACCAGGTGGCTAGTTTTTTAAAGAAAAAAGCTGTTTTTAGGGAGAAGAATGAGGAAGAAGGGCAGAGGGGGTAGTAGCACCTGCATTGAAAGAGAAAATGCAGAGGTTTTTTTCCCCATCCATCGTCTGAAAGGTTTTCTCACTGCAGTTAAACTAATTTTGTCATGTATGATGCTTTTTGGTCCTGGATACGGATGGCTCCCCTTACTAGTTTCAACACAGAGACCAAGTGTGTATCTCCTACGTGAAATGAAACTGAAGAGTTCTGGTTTGTTTTCATAGCATGCCATGATGTGAGTTTACCTGCTTGAATCCATATGTACGGCTTCTGAGCAGTTTTCTCTCAAAGCTAATAAAACCAGCTGAAGGCCTTCACTGTCCTACAGACAACTTTACTTGAATGGCATGAGCAGGTTGAAGAAACCTTTGGGCTTTTACCTGTAGGAACCTTGGCAATCTAGATGACTGGTGACACCCCCTCAAAAGTTAGTACTTTTTAGTGTTTGGATGTCTGTATCCTATGGTAAGCATCTCAGTTTTTAAAGTTTAACTTATGTGGTTGTGTACCATTAATAATAATTTTTTTCTCTTGCAGACTTTTGAAGAAGCTAACCTCTGTCAGACTTTAAACATGAACATTGCCAAAGCTGGATACTCTAAACTTACTCCAGTGCAGAAGTATAGCATTCCTATTATACTGGCAGGACGGGATTTAATGGCCTGTGCCCAGACAGGATCAGGAAAAACCGTAAGCATTTTGTGTAGTATTCATACTACTGGAGGTGTGTGATCTTGAACTATGAGGCGGATGCCTCAGTCTTCCACATACCTGATGCTTCACAGTTTGTTGTCTAATGATTTGACTTGCACTGCAAGAGCAGGTGTAGTATTAAGCAAAGGTATGAATGATGGATGGGTTGTTGCATTTTGGGGCTGAATTTCTTTTTAATTTCAGTGACCTAGTGTCTTGATACAGCAGGCCAGTCTTCAGGGCTACAGATACAGATTCAGAAGTATAGGTAGTCATAGAAACTGCTGATGAGAAAAAACTCAGCACTTGAAGGCTGGGGTTTCTTTCTGTGTTGTGTGGGTTTTTGTGGTGGGGTTTTTTGGTGTTGGTATGTGTGTGTTGTTTTGTGTGGTTTTGTGTTTTTGGGTTTTTTTGTTTGTTTTGTTAAAACTTATGCCAGATTATAACAGTGTGTTGTGCTGGTTTGTGATCCTTGGTTTGATCAAGTCTGATCTGTACCAGACTTAGTTTTAGGTGAGTCACTGTTAATCATGAAACAGTGTTGAGTGTGTTAATATTGACAGTTGTCTCAACTTGTTAAACTAATGTACCCAAATCTAATCACTGACAGCTCTGTATGAGAATATTTGGATATTAAGCATAGCTTTTTGCCATTCAGTATAGTGTGGAATTCTAGCTTTGTTTTTACGTATCTTATTAGCTACCTGTTTGAAAAACCTCTTCTGTTGGCAGAGGGGGAAATGTCCAAAGCTTATGCTATAAATATTCTGAATGCTTTTGGGACTGCTGTACAGAGTCTGTTTTGGGGGTAACGAGTCTTACACAGAAGTAAGTGTGCTGGTGCAGCTGTATTGCAAAGTGATCTGCTGTTGTAGTAGTCTGGAGAATGGTGATACATGGTTACCTTGCAAATCTACTGATGATAATGCAAAGCTTGTAAGTAAATGTTAAGGAGGGTTTTTGATTCTGGGGTACATAATTATCGATGTATGTCAGCATGATGTGTGGAACTGCTTGAAGAACCCAGAAGTTAGCTAATGTGTGACTGTGTTCCTCCATTATTAGACTCTTAAGGTCCAGAGATATATTTTGACGCTCCTTAAACAAGGAGAAATAAGCTTAAATGTTCTGTAGTGCATTCAGGTCAATCCTTCTGCAGTTTGATTTCCTTGAAGTTGATAGTGTGCTGTATCATTCTAGCCGTAAGATTGATGTGCAAGTTTTAGTGTTACTGATGAAAGCTTTAAGACTAAACAGCATAAATACTGATGCTTTTTTTAGGCAGCTTTTCTTCTACCAATTGTGGCCCATATGATGAGAGATGGCGTAACTGCCAGTAGCTTTAAAGAGCAGCAAGAACCAGAATGTATTATTGTCGCCCCAACTAGAGAACTGATAAACCAGATCTTCCTAGAAGCAAGGAAATTCGTGTATAGGTAAGCTTTTGCACTGTTGCTTGGTATTGATTATTACTTTGTCTGAATTAGCAGTGCTGCTTTTTTTTTTTCATGAATACTTTCAAAATTTTTTCTGTGTCAATCAAATGACTACAAACACTTGAACTGAGGTGGTAATACTGGTTAACAGGTTTCTTACAATATGGCTAGGGATTTAAACTCCTAATCTTCCTGCTGTTGGGGGGGGAAGGCTTGCTAACTCCAGGTTGAAGAGGAGATAAGTACTAAACTTGTGTCACATAATCCTCACTGATGAGAAAAATGAAATTTCTTAAATGAAGTAACTTAAATTTAGCTTGCCTTATGTAATTTATACTTGCTTTTATTTTTGTCTTGATGGAAATAGAGGTATGTGTTAGGGATGTTCAGTTAACTTTCAGTGATGGTTTCTAATAACTTTGTACTTCCCTGTATTTCTGGTCTTGGACAGAAATTTCACAGCTCAAGCAAGCTCTTTTAGCTCTGCTTCTTCAAAACAGAACAGAAGGTCTAAACTTGGCATTGAGCTCTTGGATGTTGCATGAGAGTATGTTTGTACTTGTTTGCCAGTGATCTTTCTGCTGCAGAGTGATAGGTTTCACCAGTGCACAGGAAGAGAATTAAATCTGTTGTCTGTAATGGCTTGTTACTGTTAGGAGGTGGAATGGAGAACATCATCAGTGCAAAATCTGGTGGGCTAAATTAGACTTGCCTTTGCTCGTTCAAGCAAACTTATGCTTGGAGGCTGTCTCTGTCTTTGGGAAGTACCATCATGTTTGCATATCTGCTTACTGAGCATGTTACTAAGAAGAGCTGCTTCATCTCTAAAACTGTTCTAACTATGTAGCTAGTTATACTAATTATGCTATTTTAAACTAGATACAGATTATTTCACAATAAAATAGCTTTTGAATTTAGAAAGTTTCTGCTACAGCTGTCCTGCAGTAAAAGCAAGATAATCTACCCCCACTTTGGGGGGCAGTTAAACAACATCAGGGTGTGAATCTGAAGAATTGCATGCATATTGCTCAGTTCAGATTCATGATATTTTTAAGCTCTTTGGTTTAGTTCACAAAAAGGAATATAAAATATATATATATTAATTGATAGTGGATAAATGTTGAAATGTTGTAAGTCCAATCTGTTTCTATTTTTGACTAAAGCTTTCTGAAAAGTTCCAGTTAAACCTGTTAAATTTTTACCAGGTTTATGTGATTCACTGCTGTTGCATATGAAGCTGAATTAGTATCTTTGAGAATAGACAGTTTGAATTTGAGTACGAAAATACTTGTTGCGTGCATGTAAAAGCCTTAGCAGGAGTTTATAAAGATAAGCTTATAAACTTGCTCTTCAGCTGTGTAAGGTAGTTATTGCTCATAGAGGTGGTTTTCTACAGGAGAAGAATATCTGATGTAGCTCTACTTGGTAGATATAACCAGAAACATTAGTAGGAAGAGCACCAAGTAGTTTAGCGTTTGAATGGGTTTGCAGTCTAATGCTTGAGTGGCACACTGTGTGGCCGGTGTGCTTAGTTGCTTTACAAAGATCCACCTGTGTATTTTCTTTTTTTTGCGCTGTCCTTTCAAGGTGTGGAAAGATCATTTCTGAAGCTCTAAAGGCATCTATTTGGTGGTTCTGCTTTTTCTAAGTATGCCATATAAGAGGGGACAATGTCTAACACCATTTTGGCTCTTACTGCCAGTAACTCTGTTGAAGGGAGAGGGAAGAATGCAGGTGAAATTAAGTGTTCTTTCCAAGTAAGCCACCTGTGCAGGGTCTATTATGTGGTATGAATGGCAACTTTGAGCTTATGGTGAGTGAATTTCTGGTCTTGGGTCCTGCTTTTGGTTATAAGCTGTGCTGTATGGTGAAGGAATTGAACCACTCTAAGCTGGTTTATGGTAGATCTGATTTTGTATGTATTTTCATTAAACAATACTGTTGCATACTTATATAATTAATCCAGATTTTTTTCTATATAATAGAACTTGTATAAGGCCTGTTGTGGTCTATGGAGGTACACAAACAGGCCATTCAATTCGTCAGGTAATGCAAGGCTGTAATATACTATGTGCTACTCCAGGAAGGCTTCTAGACATTATTGGAAGAGAGAAGGTAAGATCTTAAAACTTAATCTCAATTCCCTAAACACTCTTAGCTTTTTACATACTGGTTTTCATTCTTCAATTCAATAGAAGCAAAGATAGAGCCATGAAAACCAGTCAGTATGCTGCCTTCGTACAGGCACTTACTTAAAATACTAATGAGCTTTTCTTGGAATATTTAAATACCATTAGGTTTTTCAAAAAGTAGCATGAGTCCAGATCTCCTCAGTCCCTTTCAGGGCCCACTGGAAAATATCAGTCTAAATCAAACTGGCTGCGGTGTTCTTGGCAATTAAATTTTGTAGTTTAAATACGTGGAACACCTTCTCTTAGTTCTCATGGAAAATTCCATAGCAAATTTTTACTTGATGTCCTGTTTGTTTTGCTACAATAGCTTTTATCTGTCTGGAACTATGATAATATTAATTCTTTGAATGTTTTATTACTGATTATATTCAAAACTCCAGGTGTAATATCGTATTTGAATTTTTATTTTTCCAACCATTATAAGTTCAAATCGAAATTGCTACATATTATAATGGTGGCTCAGTGATGTTGTACTGGACAAATGAAGTTTGGAAAAACACTTCTTAGTAATAAACTGGAGAATGGCTTTCTGCAGTTGTCAGGCTTCTAGTCAAAATGATGGTCTTGGTCAGCAACAGTGAAGTTATGTCCTTAGTAATGCTTTCTGACAAACTTTTTCAGAACAAGGAGTTTATTGAGAATATGTGAGGCCTATATGAGAGAACTTTTCTAAAACTCAGACATAATTTCAAAATAGAAGTGCTGAATAATAGTCTATCGGTAGGCTCTAACTTGTTTGCATTGCTGAACAAAGTTCTAAAGCACTTCAGTGTACGCGTACTGTTAGAATTAGTGCAGATTAAAAAGTTAGAGGTTGAGATGCAAATAAAACATAATGCGCATAGGCTTTTATTTGTGAATAATTAACTTCCACTAGAAAGAAATAAGTAAAAGGTGGATTTTGGCAATTAGGATGTTCTATAAGTGTATACTGTCAGTGAACCATTACATTTTTTTCTTTCACTGAAATACTTGCAGATTGGTTTGCATAATGTGAAATATTTGGTGCTAGATGAAGCGGACCGCATGCTTGATATGGGTTTTGGGTTAGATATGAAGAAGCTGATTTCTTACCCAAGCATGCCACCAAAAGACAAACGTCAAACACTAATGTTTAGTGCCACTTTTCCTGAAGAAGTTCAGAGGTGAGTAAGTGAAAATATATCTGAAGATGTAGAGAGCTAAACGTCTGAAGAGTTGTTAAGAGCACCCCTTATGTTTAAAAGCTTATGATCTTGCTAGAAGATAATGAAAAGCAATGATTTCCAACATTCCTTGCCGAAGACTTCCCTTTTTTTAGGTAACAGAAACAGTAACTTGCGTAGATTAACTGCTGAATTTGGGTGGGGACTCTAAAGCAACTTATGAAGTTTATCTGAAGGCTTTGAAATTCCACTTCTGCAGAAGTCTTCATAGTGCCCCTGTTTGTTTCTTGTTCCTCCCTCACCATATCTGTGCAAGCTCAAAAACAGTGATCTTGCTGTTTCACAAGCAGCACTGGTAGCACTGTCTTTGGTACCAGGGCATAATATAACCAGACATCCCAATTATTGCTCAGCTCGCCAGCCTTTCTGATATACAATTCTTATTCACATGCGTAAGTACTATGTGTTTTCGGTAGTTTCAAAGGTTCCACAAACAGGTTTAGGATATATCTAACAGCTCTACTACTTACTACCCTTAAAGTTCCACTTTCCAGACCCTGAGAGAATAGTCTTCAACAGATGGTAATGGGGTTGCTGAGCCTGGGAGTTATAGAACAAAACACCTCATTCCCTGTAGGTGGATGGAAATTATTCAGTATTTCCACTTTTGGAGAGACAGGCATCTGAATACTCATTCTTAAATCAGAGGAGTATAAACTTCAATTTGAGCAGTTGACATAATTTTGGTGGCTTTTGTGATGGCGATACTGTTGTGGCAGTAGCACTTAAATAATACCAGTAAGCATATTACAGTTTGACAGCATGTAAACTGATCAGACCTTTGCAGTGAAGTATGTTGATACTTTAGTGAGTCAAATCCTGACAACTTTCTTCTGGCCTTCAGAAAGCCTGATAGATCTTTTCTGAGGTGGGGAGAAAACATCTTCAGTAGTTGACTGACCTGAATGAAAGAGGGGAATGGACTGCTTTCTCCCATTCAGTCAGTTAATACTGACAGCTGTTGTGGAGATGAATCACCTTTCTTTAAGTAGGATTGAATTAACTTTAAACTCAGTCTTAAGTTGTGTGTTGTGGCTTTGGTTCCTCAGTGAAGACTTTTTTCATATAGCTTTTTGTATTGAAAGACTATCTTGTGAACTAATAATGGCCTTGTTTCTGCAGCTGGGAATCAAGTGTTCAAATGATACTGTACATGAGTGTGGTTCATATTCATTCCATGTGTTTACTGTTTGTGTGGGAATGTGGTCTCACTTCACATGGCATGCTGGGAAAAGATGAGGTGTGTCTCCCTTGAAGATGCACAGTGTGCTCTGACTCAGGTTTTGGGGTTGAGAGGGGGCTCTTGACCCCTTGATCTCTAGATCTCTTGTCTTTGCTAATGCCCTTGCTATGTGTTTTTGCTACATACTGAGGGATGAGTAAAGAGTACTGTAACTAGCAGCATCTGAAAGGAGGAAATCCCTTCAACTGTGCAAGATGCTTACTGTCTGCTTCTGTTTAATGAAAAAAAAAAAGCATATCTGCCTTTCTACAGTCAGTCTTGCAGGATTTACAAGTGCTGGTAGAAGACTTCATAAACGTGAGTGCTTGGATCATGGTTTGGAAGTGCATAATAACATTCTTGTAACCTTTTAAAGCTGGAATGCCTAACGGTGATGTTCTCATTTTAGAGAGTGAAAACCCTTCTTGCCTGGAGTCAGTTTCTTGCTGGATTTACTGCCTTTCTGATTCTGGAGTCAGGAAAGCTAATGTTTTCCCATACTCTGCTATCAAAACAACTTTGGACAGTACACTACTTCGGTAGTATAGAACAAGGTGCTTTCTTTGGCCCTGCTAGGTTCAGGCTCTTCTGCACTTCTATTCAGTGAGTGTAATCCGTTTTAGTTTTAACATACGGTTTGGTTTTGTACCTGAATTTGGGTCACTGCTGCTACATGAACCTTTGTTCTGATCTTCAAGGCTCTTCCTGTGCTCGTGAGTTGAGAGAACCATGCATTTCCTAGCTGACTGCTGAACTTCAGCTTAGAATTTGGGGCTTTGTATCTCCCATTAAACGGGCTTTTCTTTCTTCTGTCCCTTCCTACTCTGTTTACTGTTCCATTTTCAGAGAGTTTAAACTTGCCCTTTACTTTCAGTTTAGAACTTTGTCTCTCTGTGAGATCTTAAACCATTTGGATCTTAAAACCAAACACATTTAAATCTCTAGTAACTTGTTTATTTGCTATGAAAAACACGTATTTGGTGGCATTTATACCTATAAATCAGGTGGGAGATTCAAGTCCTTAGGGCAGTCCTTTAACATTTTCAAGAGTTTCCTCTTTTTTAGCAATTTATTCTAAAACTTGAGATTGCCTGTTCTCAGTTCAAGGTTGACTTGTTTACCATCTGAATTTTACTGCAGTGGAAGCTGCTGTGTGTACGCTGGACACAACGCACACTTGTCTATTGATAGGTTAATACAGTCTAGTAAAACTCTGGAGTATTATGGGGCATTCCAAGGAATTACCTATTTTGGTGAGTTTGATCTCTCAGATAAGATCACCTATGCAAGGGATAACTTAGCATTTTTTTCAGGAATGCTGTCTGGACAAAACTTGAGTTTTGCCTATGACAGTTGGTAAATAAATGCCATAAACTCTGTGTTTTCAGGCACTGGTTTTGTTGAATAGTCAAAAAGGGTGGTGGTCTCTCTTGGAGGCCTGTTTTGAATTCTGGCCTGTGTAGGATTCTCCCCTGTCCCTCCAGCTAGTGATGAAATAGTACTCCAAGAACAGTTCTGTGAGCATATATGTCAGTTACTGTTTTATTAAAAGCATATATGTGGAACTCTTTCTGAGATGGCTAGAAAATGCAGTGTTTGTATTATGAAAAGTTGCAGGGATGTAGTCAGTCTGTGCACCTTCTTATTGATCAGGGGTTTTTTTGTACAGCTGTCTAGAAAACAATACAGACTCTTCTAGCTTTTTAAAAAATGCACATATGGCTACTTACATCCTCTGCCTTGTGAGGAATGATACAAGTATTTGTTATGAGGGTTGCTTAAACATAAATGAAGTTACTTGATCCTAAAGCAAAAATAAGCTACATAATAGACTTCATGTTGCTCAATTTTGTTTGTTTTCAAGGCTGGCTGGCGAATTTTTGAAAACTGATTATTTATTTGTTGTTGTTGGACACGTGGGTGGAGCTTGCAGTGATGTTCAGCAGAATATTCTTCAGGTTCCTCAGTATTCCAAGAGGGATAAACTGATAGAAATTCTACAAAGCATAGGTAACTTTCCTTATTGCTAATTGTTTTCCATGGAAGACAAAATTGCTTGTTTTTAAACTTGTGCTCGTACTATTGACCAGGTCATGATTCCATTCTATTATGCATGTTACACGTTTTACAGGACTACTGATTGAAGCTTGAAGCAGACCTCGGAGTTCTAGGTTTTTAGGCATATTTGTGTTATGAGTATTTGTCAAGGTCTCATCTCTATTGAGTATTAGCAGACAAGCTTCCCAGATGGTTAGTTTCTTTATATGGTCAATTACAATACTTTAGCATCTGTGGGTATTATCTCCAGATTATAGGTGTATTAAACTTCTTATGTGAATGCTTGGTGCTTGGGCCTGTATTTGGTTAATGGCTGGTATTTTTCCATTTTTGCCCTTGAATATATCTTAAGTTTTAATGCTGAAAATTGGAAGGGAGTTTGGAATTAAAAAATGGTGTATGTACCTTGATGTTTGGTGGTCAGAATGGCATGCCACTTCTAGCCACATGCTGTAGGAAGGGAGTGCATACTTATCACAGAGAACAACATTTGTTTTTTTACTGAGGAGAAAAATACAATGCACTTGTCTTCACCTAGGTTTCTGTGTTGATCTAGAAATTGATGGATTGAATTTAATTAGTTCAACACAGACAAGAAATTACAATCATAGCTTAAAGATTTTACTCAAAACCTGTTCTGATACTAGGTGTTTATAAAGTAACAGCAACTGTGAATAGTGAAAATGCATCAGGTTTCAAGCTGCAGTGGATCTGAACTGTTGTTTAACATAGGTCATGAACGAACCATGGTGTTTGTGGACAAAAAGAAAAAAGCAGACTACATTGCAGCCTTTCTTTGTCAAGAAAAAATATCAGCCACTAGTATCCACGGGTAAGTATTTTTAAAGTGAAAGTCACTGAATACTATATTTTATGAGAAGCTTTTATAGATATTTCATGTTTGGCCATATCGCTGAGACTTAGCTTGCCTTGTTTCTGATAGCCCTGTAATCCTCAGCACCTCTGCCCTATTTGAGAATGTAGTGTTTCTGAAGGCCACTTCTCACAGCATTTGCAGAGTATACGTCTTTCTGGTTGACCACGCTTCAAATGCTGTATATGAACTGGAGAATCTTATGCCTACTGCTAAAAAAAAAAAGCATATAATAAATTCAGTAGAATCAGCTGTTGTTTATGTGTAACTTTAGTCATCATTTTTGTGACCAAAACAAGACCTTTTTGGTGTTACTGGTGAGATGATATTCGTAAATTCAAGTAGCAGTTGTGGACCTTCCACTCTGTCTTATAGGCTTCGTCAAAGTGATGAGGTAAGTTGAATCATGTACCATACAGATTTCTGATGCTGTCATTTCTGCCTCCTTGATGTGATCATGGATATAGCATTTGCATGAAGACCGATCTAAAGAGAAGATGCTTCTGACTTGTGTTTGTAGCCTACTCATTAGTGTTGTACGCCTGAACAAGTGCTGAGAAGCAAGGTGAAATAGTTGCTAATTCCAGGTCTAAATCCAGCTAAAAAGATGGTCTATCTTTCATGTAATGAGATGGAATGTAGTTTTGTGGTGTTTGTTTATGTCAAAATGTAGGACAACAAACTGAATCTTAAGATTCCCAGTGAACTGTATCACATCAAAAATGTAATTTTGCAATATTTTTCATCTTGTGATAGGAGGAAGGGACTCGAATTCTTGCCAAGAAAATGATATTTTGGGCAGCGTTCTGACAGACGTCAGAATATCAAGGTTGTAGATGAGTTTAAATGATCTTAGTAGACAGATACAAGATGTTTGTGTCTATCTCGTGTCCTGTCAGTTTTACCAGTGTGCAAAGGGTCATTTTGACAAGATCTGGCCGCCTGTTCTTGGCTAACCTGAATTGCTATCCCATAACCTGTCTTGTGTGGGAGGAGGTTCTTAATACATTTCTGCAGAATTATTACACTGTGAGTTAAGGTATACTTACAAAGAGAATAACTGGTTCCATGGAAGCTGCTAAACTGTCGTGAATGTTATTGATTTCTGATTCACTTGAGTTTTTTGAGTTGAAGTTAGTTACGATAGTTGTTCTTCTCTGGAATAGTGGTCATACCAGACTTCACTAGAAGTCCCATGTTAGGCTCAAAAGAACACTGGTTTTTAGCTTTCTAATTTGTTCTCTCATTTGGACAACAAAGAACATGATTTAAAACTCTGATTTACTGTATTTAAGTACTGGATAGTCTGTAAATATTCTTTAAAAATGCAAACCCCAGAGCAAATCTAGTTTTCTTCTCATGGTGATAAACAAAAGGCAAGTTCTATACTGTTGGCTGGCCACACTTCCTAGTACATCCGAAAAATGGCCTATGCAGGGTTCTAGGTGGACTTTATCTTTGCTATTCTGGCTCCCTGCTACAAAGCAGTAGGAAATGCGCTTCTAACTGTCAAGAAGAAACAGTCAGTTAAACAAGTGGATCTTCTTAGGGAGGCAGTGAGTTCAATACATTACTATCTCTGGTTCATTTAAAAAAATTAATTTCTCTAGAGACTTAGGTTAAAATAGTTGCTGTGTCTTACTGATAATCAGTTAAAAATTCAGAAAACCTAAACTGGTAGTGTGTGGGTTGTTGTTTTGTTCCCTCCCTCCCCAGAACTACGTTTGTCCATGAATCATGACCTTTTAACTTGTATCTTAATACTGCAGATTTTTCAAGGCATCTATTCTAACCATTGCTTTCTTTGTAGAGATAGAGAACAGAGAGAGAGAGAAGTAGCTCTTCAGGATTTTCGTTCTGGAAAATGTCCAGTTCTTGTGGCAACTTCAGTGGCAGCAAGAGGTCTGGATATTGAAAACGTTCAACATGTTATTAATTTTGATCTCCCTTCCACCATTGAAGAGTATGTACACCGAATTGGAAGAACTGGTCGTTGTGGAAATATAGGCAAAGCAGTTTGCTTCTTTGATAACACTTCAGATGGCCATCTTGCACAACCTCTAGTTAAAGTGCTTTCAGATGTAAGTTTCAAATCTTAGTGCTTAACTTTTTCTGGTCTTTTAGGATTTCACTCTAATGTACTGAGCAACTACTATTTCTTTGCTACAGTTATGGAACTCTTAATATGAATTGCTAAAGCAGTCAAAGTCTCTAAATTCACTTTTCTAATTATGTAGGCCCAGCAGGAAGTTCCTGTTTGGTTGGAAGAAATAGCTTTTGGTTTTCAAGGAGAAAGAGTCTTTACATCAGCCAGTACCCAAAAGGTAAGTCTGGAAATGAACTGGAAGTCTTGGCTTTTATAACTTTGCTCAGTATAAAAGTGTGTTTAGCAGTATATATCCAGAGTAATGCCACTGTAACTGTTTTGACTGTAACTGTGTCCCTTATGTTAGTTGTGCATCTACAAAGTGCTCAGTATTTCTGAAACTAATTTTGGACAACTTGCTTGACTTGGACTAGTGTGGCCTTGCTAGCTGTGTTAGTCTTGATCTGTAGTGTGAAGAATTACTCTGTGGAAGAAAAGGTTTGTGCAAACGTATGCAAAGGCTGTAGTTCTAGAAGTTCTAGAAGTTTTTCTACTGCACATGTAGGGTAGGAGCAAATAGTTGCTAGTTATACCATCACTGCCTGTTATGAATCACTTGATCAAGTAACTCATTTGACTAAAAACTTCAGGTAATTAGTTAGATAAATGCCCCAGTCTGATCCATGTCAAAATTGTTCTTAGTGTCTGTGATGAGGAGGAGACTTGTGGTCTCTTAGTGTTGCTGATACCAGATGTTAAAATACAGCTTGTGTAAATGAGACAGGCTAGGTGGCATAGCTCTCAAATCACTCTGCAGTCACTAGTTTAGGATTTAAACTCTATGCCTACTTCAAATGATTCCACCCCCCCACCCTCCCTGATTCAGATCTGTATCTTTTCTTTGAGCCTTCATGGGGCCTCAGTTACACACTTAGACTTTTGCTTCCTTCTCATGCTGGCAGCCTCAGTAGATCTTTCTTCTATATTCCTGTTCAAGGACACTTCTAAAATTTGCATAGATTGCTTTTGAAGGTGGATCTCATCAACCTTTGAGTCTAGATTGCTTCCAAATACACATCTCCAACCTTTGTGGAGTGTCTCTCAGCATTTCATGAAATCTGTGATTTCTAGGTCCAAGTCTGTCCTTGATGTCCTTTATGACCTCTGAGTTACCGAATCTGGCTGTGACTCTTTGTCCACATCGTTGTGAATAGAACAGTTCCAGGGGAAATGTGTCTGTTTGCCTTGGGAGTACTGCCCTCTTAATCATATATGCAGTGCACCAACTCTTGAGTTAGAGATCATCAGGTTCTAATTCCTTTCTTATGAGAACTTCTGAGGTCAGTGATTCTGACAGAAACTGCGCATTTGTAATCAGCTCTCTTTTTTCTTTGAAATTAACTATTAAAGCTGGTTTTTGCTGTTTTACTATTACCGAAAGAGAGGCTTTTATCAGCTAGGAGTCAGTAAGGATCCTGATGCCCTTTCTCCTGGAGAGGAAAGGTAACATTTGTGTTTTTACAATATTCACTTTCTCTTTAAAAGGGAATGCATGAAAGGGCCATTTGATAATCAAATGATGAATTTGAAAGAGGAATCTGTTGGAGGCTTTTACCTGATTATTTTGGGACCATGTTCTAGATGACTGGGCTTCATCCTTTTTCCAAAGGAAAAGGATTTTGCTGGGAAAGTAATGCAGACAGTCATTCTTAAATAAGAAGTGGAGAAGGAAGTTTTTCACCAAAGTTTTATGTGACCTGATTTGCATTGGGTAGGAGAAGAAGTTGGGATTTGAACTTTGGGAAGGATTACCACATCTGGTAAAATCTGAGGTTGATTAAAGTGCATTAATTCCACACTGGAATCTAAAAACCTTATGTATAGAAGTTTAATGAAGAAAGAGCTTCTGTATTTATTTAAAAAATACAGCGTTCAAATTACATCGAGAGACATGCATGCAGAAAGCTAAAATTTGTTTTGTAGTGACTTCTGCTGTTAAATGTTTGAAAGTGTTAATGATTCTAAACTGGTACCTGTTCTGTTTCCTAGAATTACAGAGGCAGAGGCAACACTAGCCCAGGAAGAATGAAGATGTCGTATTCTGCAAGTGCATTTGAGTCATGGGATTAAAACTACTTTAGTACCAAAGTAGATTGTATTCTGTTGTGCTTTAAGTGAACTGTTGCACTTAATGTTCCTTACTGTTGAGCTTATGGAACACTTAAGGTTTAAAAGAGTAGGTCATATCATATGCTAAAGCTTTCAGCAATGGATATGTACTCTGTTATGGTGAACCCAGTGATGATTATCGCTTAATATAGGAAGTCTAAAGCAATTTTTTAGGGAACACTTCAGATATTAAGCGGTAAAACTTGCAGTATATGTTTGATGCTTGGTAGCTAGTATACTGCTCCAAAAAGGTGGGGGTTTTGCAAGTGGAAAATAGATCCCTTGGACTTACTACTTTGTTATCAAAACTTTGCATGGGAAGATAGTCTTGTGAAGACCTAGTTTGGGACGGAGCTTTATGTAAAGGCCTCATCTAAACTTAATGTTCGTTCCTTTTTGTAACAGGTCAGTTATAAAATTTGAATCTAGTGATGAGATGACTTAATCTTAAGCATCTGTTAAACATCCTGTAAACAGTTACTCAATAAAAGCTTGAGTGCGTATTGATGATTGCTTCTACATGAGATATACAAAAAAGCATGTCATTGCAGTTTCATGAGCTGATACTATTTTGACATGGGTGGAACATCTCAATATGGAACTAAAGGTCAGTGGCTACCTCCACAACTTCGTTGAAATACATGTTTTTACAGAGCCGTCATCAGAGAAGGATGGAGCCCTGTGTTGCTTCTAGTATAATGTTTTTGCATTTGACAGACATAAGCACTCTTCTGTTATCTCTTGTGGAAAAGTTTTCTTTAGAACAAGCTTGGTGGCTCATGTCCAAAAGAGTTTCCCAGACTTGTAGAAGCTATAGAGGGTAAGAAGCCATTAACAGTTCAAGGAAATTTCCGTAAAGTTGCTTTTTCTTTGAATTTTTTTTTATTTACCAGCGCAGTGTGCTACAAAGATGCACATCATTGTGTCCCAAAGGAAAATGGCAAAGTGATTGTAATCATAATTTGTACTGTCTTGCACAGCTGAACAAGCTTACAATCTTCTTTTATGTTCTCTGGTATTTAGCACACAATGCTGAGCACTATTTCTTGTACAGTCTTCCTACTTAATACCGGGAGATAATACTTATAAGCTCTGCTTGCAAGACTGAAGGTTTAAGGCCCAAGTTTTTGAGAATCAGAACTAACTTGGGCAGTACTATGGAATCTGTTACTGTGGAAAAGCGGGCTGTTGTTCTTATTTTTTGTATGACTATCTTTTCAAAAATATTTATCTCTTTAAAAAAATACTGATATTTTTGTAGACTGTAGTTTTTCTGCTAGAAAATGTGCAAAAAAGTAAAATAAGTCTTAATTGTGTACTTGGAAGTGAGCTGAAGGGATGGTATACCTAAATTGCAACTCATAAGCAGTATTTAAGCTTGAAGTCTGTAATTCAGAGTACAGTACCCTGGGCAGCATGACTCCTTTTATTGACAAGTCTGCTTGAGGATTTTTGCATCCGTTCTGAATTTCTGGTAAGAAATTGAGGGTGCTTTTGGTTGGTGGCTGCAACAAATGTGAGTGAACTGTAATTTTTGGAGGAAGGTGTACAGCTGGTAAAGCTTTCCATTTCTGTGAAAAGAAACCGAAGGAAATAGTCATGGGTCACTTGTAACCTAGAATAAACTTACGAAGGGAAAGTGGCTTAGCCTTGTTTAAAGGACCATTTAGATCACTGGGTGTTTTTTGCTTTGCCTGACATTGTATATCTTTTGAGTTGGGGGGGCACGCAGCAGAGGGAGTTCTATAACTGTCTAAAGAGTTGTTCTGGCCCTGTTCTTAATGACTTCCCCTGAAAGCTAGATAGAAAAAAAATGGTGCTATTGTAGCTTAGGGCTACTGTTGCTATAGTGCTATGTCACACTTTGTTGCTGGGAACGGGAAGTGCTCAAATTGCTCAACATCTTCCTTCAGAAGCACTGTGTGAAAAACTAAACGTGGTGGAATTTAACCTTTAGAGGAGTTGAAGATACAACTTGTCATACCTGACTAAAGGCCATAAGATGTGGTGGGTGGAAGTTAAAGCTGCAGCAGTCTCAGGCTTGCATTTTATTTGTAGCTTGAAAAGTAATGATTAGAATAGCTTTTTAGTTCCTATTACAGTTTATCAAATATCTCAAATTACTCCTACAAGAATTAAAGAGTGTTTGTATAGAGGATGTTTATCAGAACACATGGGCTTTCCTTACATATCTTGAGAAAAGAGTATTCATCTTTGTGTAATTTGGGATGGGTGGGAAGAGGGCTGATAATCAGTCTAGTTTGCTGAATAAACCTTTATCTAGTTAAAACTGAAAAGCGAGTATGTGTGCACACTTGTAGTATCTTTTCATTGTATATGTTTGACTGCTGATTTACTGTTTCATTACTCCGTCCTTTATAGATACTTTTTGCATCTTGTCTTTCCATGCAGGGACTTGCTTGATTTATTTCCTGATGTTGCTAGGTAAAAAGAGGTTGCACAGAACTTCTACTTCAATTTGCCTGCATGCAGTCTTTAAGTATAGTATCTCTTTGTTTCGAAAGACAGTGGCATTATGCACTGAACTACATTCTTTCTTTTTTTCCCTGCTTTAGCTAGGTGTAAATGTGCACTAGGGTATCAAATTTATCAAACTTGTTAACCAAAATAATTTATGACAAAAAAAGCAATAACCAGCTGATTTTACCAATGTAATAATTGATAGTGTATTAAGTAGTGCAGGCATAAATCTGGAACCTGTGGTAAAGTCTCTGTGGAACACTTGGTGGCACAGTGTTTGCAAACATTTGTGCTTGAAGTTCCCTTTTACAACAGTCCATAAATAAACTTAAAACATAGTACTGTTCAACACATACCATATTACTCTGGGCAAGGCAGACTTTTTTGCATTTCCTTTATGTGGAAATGGTTATTTCTTACCTGTGCACTCTACAGCTTCAGTCTGTTTTTCTTCATGTTCAGAACTGCCCCTTTCCTAAGGGAATAAAACTGGCCACTTCTTTAACTTAAATAGTTTGTGAAGGTGGTAGGAGTTGCCACAAGCAAATGTTTCCATATTGTTAATGTTTTTCCTGCTATGTCATAAAGGAAGCACCAAACCCAACAAAAAAAAACACCAACAAAACCTGTCCATAGAATGGTAATGGAATAATTTTAAGAGAAAAATAAGTCAGATTTACTACTTTTTATGAGACAGTGAGAAATTGAAGAATCAAGTCTGATGTGAGGTCACTTTGATCAGAAGAATAGAATGCCCATTGAAAAGGGAGTGAGGGAGAATTAGGATTAAGGAAAATGGAAAACTTCAAGAATAATACTTGCAGAAAACTACAGTTCCTTTTTGAATACTCAGTTTTGCTTTAAGCCTCTTTTGACCCTTTAAATACATGTTTAATCTGCAGTAAAGTTTTATTGTGAGCTGGAGGAAAACACTGACAAACAAGGGAAGCTGGGGTGGGGAATGAACTTCACTGTCAGCTGCTTCTCTCTCTTATTCCTGCACTCGGGTAATTTTATATTTATGAGGCGAATGTGTTGAAAGTGTTACTGGGAAATACTGTGTTAATACTTTCTTCACTCAGAGTGCCTCGTCCTCCAGGTGGCAGTCAGGATGAGCCTTGTTAAAAGATTTCACTGAACTGATTGAAACCTGAGAACAACATGCCTGTAATTCCTTTTAGATGCTTCCACTGCCTACAGTTGTGCTAACTTGAAGGCTTTTTCCTATCTTTACCTCCATGTTTATATAAAAAATGCTGTTTGTATTGGAGCATAGTTCAAGATTAAGCTGGGGGTTCTTAGCAAGCTAGTGTTGCAAAATGCCATCAAGCCTTCTTTCCTTCAACAATACCTTGAATGCTGCTTTTTCTTATTTTTGCCACATTGCAATAGTAATATAATGCAGTGCCTGAACTTTTTTTTTCCTCACGAGTTGAGTTTCTCATCAGAATCTGAGGACTGCAGTCATGAGGGTGAAAAGGAAGGGAATTCTCTAGAGGTGACTTGGGACAACTGTGTTTTGACTGTGGGTCCTGATCAGAACACAGTTCTAGGAATGGCAAAGAGGAAGTGAAGTCAAGGGTTTCTTTGTATAGCTGAGAAATGAAGGAGAAATAGCAGAGACAACCCTGAACAAGTGCTGGCTTTGATAAACAGACTTTTTCTGAAACAAGCTCTGCCTCCATTATGAGCATGAATACCAGTCCCTGTAGACATTCTCTTTTTCCTTTTTTTTTTTTTTAAAGCCCTTGGAGCTGCTAGAGTGTTGGTACTGGGAGGTTGGATATTCTGTGAACCGGTCTGTGAGCTCCTAGAATGGAAATGTGCTGGGACAGATGTCTGCTCTGTTCCTGTAAATCCAATAAGGATGGTGTGTATGGCTCCTTTTTTGTTACTGGTCAGTCTGTGATAATTGGTGTGATTATGCTGTTTTCTAAACATGTGGCAGAATTCATCTAGCGCTTGTTTTTTCGTTGCTTGTTTCTGGGATGCCTGAAATGATTCCTAAAGTTGTTTGATACATTTGAGTATATATAAAAAAGAAATAAAACAGTACAAAAAAGATGACCCTACACACTGTGGTCATCCTAGTGCATCTTATTGCATTGCTACTGTAGGAATGTGCAAATAGTTTTTAATATCCTTTATTTTCTAGGACTCTCACTAAATGATAAAAATGTGTGGTTTCAGGTTCCATCTCTTGGATTTCTACCCCAGCTATGTTTGAGTCTTGTACTGATAAGAAGTCTTGGTTTTTCTCTTCACAGTTACCTAGGCTGTACTGTGATACAGCACTGGGGTATGAACCTCACTGGTGTACAGCTGTGGTTGCAGACAGTACCATACTTTGTTACATGAATGTTCTGTCACTACCCTGTAATTAAACTACATTTCCTTGAGTACTCGATAATCTGGATACAGATTTACAAAGTCAGTCAGGCATGGTATTTTAAAAGTAAATGAGCACAATCTCTTTAGAA